GTTGTCTAAAATATCTTCCAAAAAATATTTTTAAGTTGGGAGCTCAGCTAACCTGTAAGTGGTATTTACAGACATCAACCCATAAACGAGCACAACCTAACTGTTTGCCTTTACCGTCAGTAAACGAGAACGTTAACCAATATTCGTTCTGAAATAATAGCACCAAAAAAAAATTGTTCTTTTATCTATTTGCATTTTTGTTTGCTTAATAGTTTTTAGAAAAAACAACAGTTTGCTGAAATATATTTGACGATTTTTCAAAGAGTTGTTAATAAAAACGATTCAGTTGTAAACAAAAAAATAAATAAATAAGTAAAATGAATGACAACTTTAGCTAAAAATGATAGATAAGACAGACGTACAGATTGCAACGGTCCAAAGAAACTTTTAGGAAGATCTTCGATAGTGAAAACTTTGCTAAACGTCATCGTCCAATGACCTTTTGGTGGTGGACATAATCTGTTGTCACGTAAAAATTCTTGAGCTTTACGATCTGTTAGATATTTATCTGCAGATTTGACTGTATCACGGCATTTCTCTAACATATCGCAGTAACGACTATAAAAACGATGTTTAAGACCGGAGAAGAAATAAGTTAATGTGGATACTTAAACTTACTTTTTAAAAAAACTTTTTGTAACAATTTTTTAATTTAAACAACCAAAATACTAGTAATTTCTTTGTTTAATTATTGATCTGGTCTACTGCTATAATCAAATTTTCAATTAAAACAAAGTTAGAAAATGGTAATTCTCTTACCAAGACCCAACTCCGTCGCATCCATCAATAATATTCCACCCTTGGCAGGGGATTACTTGCCATCCCTTAGAACCTTGTTTATTTGTCACTGCATGCCGAACCTGAGACTATTTTCTTTAGATATGTTAGCCAGCTAACAGTAAAAAAATAAAACTAAGTTACTGACCACGTTTTCACGATAGCTTTTTGACAATAAACTTATATACTTAAAATTATTTCAAGTAAAATGAATGATTTGATATTTATTTTCACTATAACCTCTGTGCTAAATCAAAACAGCCAAAAGTAATTCCTTCTTAGTATAGCATTTTCTGCAAATAAAACGAGGATAATTTTTAATTTTTGATCAAATATGATATATTCTGAAAACAAAAGTAATGCCATGTTTACCCGACATCCGGAATCAAAAAAAATAGATTTTGAAACGAATACCAATCAATTCATTGTTTTGCTTATTTAAACTCTCAGCTTTACTTTATTCGTTTTAAACTAAGCAGTTGTAAAGCATAAGTGCTAAACAAGCATCAAACCTCAAGGTCCATTTCAATCTTTTCATTTGGAAGATCTTCGTTGACATCCATAGTAACGTTGAAAAAGATTGGCCCAGGAAACCTGGGATAGTCAGGCCAAATAACAATATTTGATACATTAACAACATACTTCGTCCACTAAAATAAATCGCTGTGTTAACAACGCTTTTTTTTCGCAACAGTAATGCATTTGATTACCGATGAATTTACCAGAAAACTATAGTAAGCTTCCTAAATTTTTTAGCTAAAGTTACCTTACTGCTTAATTTCATTTGTACTGACCAAAAATAATGCTTTGATATGTCAAACAAGACAGTACATAATCATCTTACCAACTATCTATAGCTCAAGTAAATAGTAGGTAAATCACCTGTTCACTAGCACAGCGACTAAACTGCCAACCACGAATAACGACTCCATGTGGACCAGTATTATATTTTTCCCAAAACGGTGTTTGTCCAGGAAAAGTTTCTTCCCAAGCACGCGATAGGGGAGATTGTGCAGATGAGATCGCAAAGGTTGCGGCTGCTATCAGGTGGAATATGGTGACAAAAACCATGACAGCCGACACTGAAACGTTGTACTTCCGTTAGTTTTCCAGCAACTCAGAGCCACTTTTTCTTCCGTTGTTGTTATTGTTTTAACGACACTTTGACGACGATTTCGTTGTTCTCAAGATTACCCGAGAAAAAA